CTGATTCAGAGCTCCTCTATATCGACTTCATTGTGCATCCGTCGTGATGAATTGGTCTGCGATCTTCTCGGTCTCGACATGCCTCTCGATAAGCGAGTTGCTTCAATCGAGTTCGTATATGTCCTCCAGAGGGGCTTGCTGTGTTGGGCGGCGAGCCTTGAAGTGTCACAAGAAAATGGAGATGGAACCATCATAGTTGCTTGCCCAGCTGACCGTCGTGATAGCTACGGCAGCTACGGTAATCTATTGCTCACACGAGAGGCCCTCCGAATCGCACGCTGCACACGTGCTGCGGATTATTTGGATGAGCTACTCCGTAAGGCCTGTGAGCACATCAGGTTGCCGAGCTCGGGCGACGAACGAGTTTTGAATCTATTACGGGGCTCATCGAGCGGTCTGGTGAAGGAGCTCTGCCAGGCTGCTGCGGACGAGCATGTGGGACAGGACTGGTTAGATGCAGCCAAGGAGAGCGTTGAGTGTGTCAGAGAATCTGGTGTGGCAGCACATGTCATAATTGTATTGAGAGACGAGAGGAACCCACTCCGTACGGCTGAGCAGCTCTGGCTCTTCTCGATCATCGCAGCTACCCGCCTCAACCCGATGATGAAGCCCTTCCACCTTGATCTGGCGGAAGCTCGTGAAAGACTCGCTTTACAGGCCTCGGACGAGACCGAAATCCTGGACGAGGTTTCCACTGTGATTGGTGTGCCTCCTATGGGCATTGATATACGCAAAGGCTCTCTACGTATAGGAATGGGGGTGATTGGTCATCTATTGAAACACGAAGCAGCTCTGGTAGCACCGAAGTCTCGGCAAGATCGCTGTGAACGTATACTGAAGACTTGTATGTCCCGAAAATACGCCGCTAAAACAGTGAGGACGGTCGTCCAAATACAGTCCCTGTACCGTAGTTGGTTTGAGCGTAAGGAGAGCCTGGAGAGAGTCCCTAGAGCGCTCAACTGTCTCTTCGGGGCGCTCTGTCTCCTACGCCGTGTTAACGAGTTTTCGAAGCGTCACGCTGCTGTGGTGCACCTCCAACGGACTTGGCGAAAAAAACGTACAAGAATGAAGTACGCCAAGGCCATCATGCAGCTCAGACGAATCCGCGCCAGTATTGTCATTCAAGCCTTCTACCGAAGGCTAGTCGCGACAAGGATCGTCGAGGAGCTGCGGCTGAAACAGACTAGAGTGTATTCCATCGAGATCATACAGTGCTTCATCAGACGCTATTTAGCTCGTCGTACGCTTCTCGATAGAGCCTTCCGTCTGAGAGCAGAAAAATCTGCTGTGCTCATACAGGCGCACTGGCGTGGGCTCCTCATAAGGCGTTGGTGGGGGAGAGTACGCGGAGGTCTCCCCTGGCTGGCGTTGATAGTTAAGTCCAAACTTATCGCTATGAAGGAAGCCCAGGTTAAGCTGGCAGCATGGTGGCGAGGTGTTGCGACCAGAGTGGTACGCTCGGGGCCGGGCCAGCGAGTTTACGAGTTCATGTGTGCAGCAAGAGAAGGCATCAGGGAGGAAGTTCGTCAACATCGGTCAGCACGAAGAATCCAAACTCGATGGCGAAGCTACAGGCTGGTTCGACAGTTGAAGACTTTGACCAAGACGTCATACAATATTCAAGCTGCGATACGGACGATATCATGGCGGCGTTGGTGGGTCTCGCTAAGGCGAACAGTCATCCATCTGCAACGTAACTTCCGAGCTCGGGCCGAGTTGGCCGAGATGGAAAGGCAACTTCGTGCGAATGAATGGTCGGTACGGAGCATCACTCATCAGATGATACCCATAGCATTGAGTCGTGATATTTGCGTTATTCATGCCCCAGAGAACGCCGAGGAGTCTCTCAGATCGGCGTTCGATACCAATGAGCGCAATCATGGCTACGACTTGCATATTTTTGGGTCTCGCTGTAAGCATGTTATCGCCCTCAAACAAGGCTGGCTGTGGGTATCTGGTCACGTTGTGCCGCCCCCGCCTAGGCTCGAGGCTGTTACCGTTAAGACTATTGCATGTGGTTCCCAACACATCTTATTCACTTGTCACGAGACGGAGCTCTGCTTCGCATGGGGTTCCAACTCGATGGGACAGTGTGGATTACCACAAGATGCAGTGGCGTTTCTGAGAACACCTCTGATTATACCTCTCAAGGGGTCGGATGGCAGAGTGAAGTTCATAGCGGCTTCAGGGAAGACCTCAGCCTATGTGACGACACGCCGGCCTTCCAGGGTCCATGTCATCGGCCAGTGTATCGAATCAGAATGCGCAACTGTTGGAGATTTTGGTGAAGACGCCATCATCAAAGTTGTCCTCTCAGTATTCGAGGACGCCTCACAACGGGTTCTCCGGCCCTGCGTTTTCGTCCTGACGGCCACAGGCGAGCTCTATTCATGGGGTGACAATACGTGTAAACAACTCGGAAGGTCGACAGAGTGTTTGCAACACTCTCGGGTACCTGGCAAGGTTGATCTGGACGCGGAATCCGCGGGTCGCATAGTGCAAGTGTCAGTGGCCGCTGGCGCCGTGTATGTCTTGGCTGTTACTGACGCGGGTGAGGTCTTTGCGTGGGGTACCGTCATGCGGGCCCATGCGGGGGGTCCTCCAGAAGCCTTCAATTTCGATAGGCCGACCAGCGTTATCCTACCCCTTGAAAACACTGTGGCCATCCAAGTTGCTGCCTCTTGGAGTGATAGATGGTTCGTCGTACTGGCCCCGCAGTATTCTGTTTGGTGCTGCCGGGGACTTCGTCGCCGTGGTGCTTTCGCTGTGGTTGAGAATGCCGATCCCATCAAGTGGCCAGCGGCAAGCTATGAGTCCCGAGCTGGTCGAGCGTTACTACGGTGCAGCAACTCGGTGAAGGGCAGTTTGGTCTACGTGGTTTTCGAGTAAAAGGACGTCATATCGATGATGAGAATCCTTACATTCGCATAATACATCTTTTTCTGAATCGATCCTCGAGTTGTGTTTGAGCCGATAACCTAGTGTAACAGTGGGGTCCTGTATTTCTCACATCGGGTACGGCAATACACTGGACAAGTTGAGTGCCACTGACGGAATGACTCAAACCCTTGCAGCCTTAGATGAATCCACTATGTCGTCAAGACATAATATTCCGGCCTTATGCCCACCCCTATGGATCTGTATCATCCACCCCTGGGGGCATCGTGACGATATAATGGAGGGATCGTACGCGCCTCATACTACCGATACTACTAAGTCCGACACTCGCTAATCGAACACGAGACGACGACTCATAAGAAACGATGACGCGAGGTGAAGTGCGGTCAAGAACGTTACATAGCAACGACGTGCGACAGTAATGGTTTACTATACAACAATAGATTATCTCCTCTTCTTGTTCCCTTGGGCGAGTTTCTGGAGGATCATTTGGTGTTGTCTTTTCCTGCCTCCACGTCCACCCTTCTTCCCCGCCAGTGCCCTGAACGGATTGCCAATAACACACTCGCCTTTTCCTGCTAGTAGTACTCTTTGATGTCCTCTTCCTGCTCTCGCATCTCCAGCTGTGTCGAGCCTACAATAACCACATAAGACCTCACAGCTCAAGGGGCTTCTCCCAAGGGACTCACGGAGAGCTTCCAAGACCTTCTCTTGTAGCGACATGGCGCTTTCCTCATTGACCTCAGGGAACTCCTCCATCTTCTTGCCTGCCATCGTCATTAACGTTTCCATTGCGAGCGACCTCACCTTGTTTATTCTCGATCCTCTGGAAGGGCTCAATATCATACTGAGTGACCAAGGTCACAGAGCGGCCAGTCCGACCAGCTCGTGCAGTACGCCCCACTCGGTGGATATACTCCTGCGACAGAAACTACCGTGGACTCGCCCGAGCAGGCAGTACCTCAGGGTTCTTGGGCACGTCGAAGTTGATGACGACATCTACACTAGGAATGTCCAAGCCTCTCGCTGCTACATCTGTTGCTACGAGGATCGATCGCGTGCCTGCAGTGAATTCATCACGACGATATAACAGTAAGATTCCTTACCAGCCCGGAACTGGTTGAGGGCTCCAAGGCGATGAGTCTGCGTCATCTTGCCATGTAGGCATACACAGTTGTGGCCGAGGTGCCTCAGAGTAGTGGCCATCCGCTGGGCATTAAGACAGGTGTCAACGAAGATCATCACAGTACCTGACCGTAAGATAGAGACTATGGTGGACCTGAGTGCGG